GGGGGAGAGAGAGGGGGAGAGAGAGAGAGGGAGAGGTTGCATTGTGTTGGATTAGAAAGTGTCTGCATTATCTATTGTTATCTTACAGGTGAAAATTAGATAATAGATAGACAGACAGACAGGTAGATAGATAGATAGATAGATAGATAGATAGATAGATAGATAGATAGATAGATAGATAGATAGATAGATAGATAGATAGATAGATAGATAGATGTTTCAAGAGGGGGAGGTTGCATTGTGTTGGATTAGAAAGTGTCTGCATTATCTATTGTTATCTTACAGGTGAAAATTAGATAATAGATAGACAGACAGACAGGTAGATAGATAGATAGATAGATAGATAGATAGATAGATAGATAGATAGATAGATAGATAGATAGATAGATAGATAGATAGATAGATAGATAGATGTTTCCCGAGTACACAATGAACACTCTGCATTGTCTTAGATTACAATGTATCCGCATTCTGTATTGTTCTCTGACAGGTGGAAAACATTTCTCATCTCTTTTCTGAGTTACATTTTAACAGAGAAATTGTCATTTCGTCTCTCTGTACACAGATGATAAAACCCCCTCGTCAGTGTGCGGTCTCTGCACTCACCTTGTGTGTAGTGATCTCTGTCAGTGTGCGGTCTCTGCACTCACCTTGTGCGTAGTGATCTCTGTCAGTGTGCGGTCTCTGCACTCACCTTGTGTGTAGGTGACGCTGTAGAGAAGTGCGGTCAGCAGCAGGAGTGTCCGGGACCCCCTCATAGTGGCCGGTCAGGGGACTGTGGCTCAGTGGGAAGAAAGTTCTTCTGTCCTGTGCTGGGATCTCCTCCTCTCCCCTCTGTATTTATAGGCTGACAGAGGAGAATTCCTCCCAGCTCAGCGTGTTGGCCGGGTGCCCGGAGCTCCCTCTGTTCCTCTCTGCACACCTTGTGCCAGATACTGCAATAAAGAATGACTCCGACACCAAGCACAACCATTCCGAGGACCGATGTCATCCAGGCAAACCTGCAGCCGTGCTGAAATCAGAACGTTAACTCATGAGAGACACCTAATCCATTCCAGCCATATTCAGCAGAGCTTTCACTGTGCCTCAGGCCAGTCCTACACCCATATACTCAGAGTACTGTGACATGCAACCTCCATCTGGAGCTTTCAATTCCCGAAATGTGGGTGACAATCTGAAGATTTTAGCAGAATTTAGCCATTTTGACAAAATACCTTCAGTAGTGAAGGCAAAATCTGGGTGGTCTTGGTTATTTCTTGGGGGTGCAATCAGCTTTAAATGGCTCCTGAGGGTTCTAGATGATCCTTTCAGCTACCCCGGGCACCCAATCTTCTGCCAAAAAAAAAACTTAACTAATTTTTTTTAATAGACAAAAAAACTCACAAAGGACTCGAAAATTACATTTTAACCAAATACACAAGAAAAAAAATTAAAGCAGAACTCCCCTCTTCCCCCCCAAACAAACCCCTCCAGTGGGGCTAAACCGCTCCCCCCCTCCCCCCCTCCCCCCCTCCTCGTACTGCAAGGGTCAGGTGTTTGTTTTGTTCTAGGGGTGAAAATAAAGGAGATACACTCACCTGATCCCCGGGGCGTCCCGAGGCCAGGTGTCATGAGGAGCGGTTACCAGATGACACCAAAACGTGACATCATCGTGCGTGCGCAGCGATCTTATTGAAACCTGCCGGCGGCCATCTTGGTGATGGACGTCGGCAGAGAGAGGAGGGGGCAGTCACCCGGTGGGATGAGGTATGCCGCCGGGTCCCCTCCCCTCTCCTGAAACTGTCGGGCGCTCGGCACATGACCGAGTGCCCGACTTTTCAGAGGGGGGTGACACCAAAATGACTGTCAGTCTTAAAAAAAAGTGTTTGTTTTGTTCTAGGGGTGAAAATAAAGGAGATACACTCACCTGATCCCCGGGGCGTCCCGAGGCCAGGTGTCATGAGGAGCGGTTACCAGATGACACCAAAACGTGACATCATCGTGCGTGCGCAGCGATCTTATTGAAACCTGCCGGCGGCCATCTTGGTGATGGACGTCGGCAGAGAGAGGAGGGGGCAGTCACCCGGTGGGATGAGGTATGCCGCCGGGTCCCCTCCCCTCTCCTGAAACTGTCGGGCGCTCGGTCCATGACCGAGTGCCCGACTTTTCAGAGGGGGGTGACACCAAAATGACTGTCAGTCTTTTTGGTGTCACCCCTCCAATGGTGTCACCTGGGTGCAGGCCACACCCCCCTTGTGATGCCACTGCCTGATCCTCAGTTCTGCGTCAGCGTTCACCTCTCTCCCCTGCACTCTGGCTGTGTTATGTCCCCCGGCGTCCTCACGTCTAATGGACCTGCATTAGACGTGATGATGTCACAGGTCCTTAGACTGCCAGAGTCCAGTGGGGGGGATGCAGGACCAGCCTAGCAGCCAGGCGAGACCGAAGTTTGGGAGACTGTATCTGCTTTATTATAGCCCCTAGACCAAAATGAGCACTTATGTAATACCCACCTTCGCACCATGAAGGGGGTCCCTGCAGACAACCAGAGGTCGGATGTGCTCTCACCAGCAGCCTTGAGCTCAGCGGCACCTGTCTCCTTCACTCCCCGGGCGCTCTGTGATCATTACTGTGGAGATCCACCCAGCTAAGTGATTGACAGCTGGCTCTGCCTATCTAGAGGCAGAGCCTGCTGTACCCGCCCCCGTCCGTTCCGCCAGTCAGTGCTGGAGGATCGGACAGGGGAGGGGGGAATCCCTGCAGGGAGCCGTGTGTGACAGTCATGGCTCTCTGCCGGGAGATGATCGAGAAGTGACGGTATGTGTTCGCTCACCTCCCGATCTACTGAGCCGACCTGTGACAGTCTCATTGTCACACGTTGGCTCGAACTATAAGGAGGAGTGAAAATCACCCCCCCCCCTCATAGTTCTCCTTTAACGTCGTATCAGAAAGATGGTGAAAAGAAGCCAAAGGTGAAATGTGACAATGAAATTTAACCGCCCCGAAACTCTGAACTTAAATTTTAAGACCGTGCTTGTTAAAGTTATAATTCTTAACCTTCAGTTATCCTTCATGTGTCCTGGTGCCAAACAGGTTCATGATTATCCGTATTCATTTATAAAAAAATGCAAAAAAAACCCCAAAAAACTTACTGAGATACAAGAAGCTATGAAACAATAAAGGGTGCAGACCGAGCTGTGACTGTACCAGCACCACTTACACATTGAGACAGACTCGCAAGAACCAGCCCGGGATCACTACAGTCTTCAGATCTTAAAATTACACACTAAACGAAAACTAAAGGGAAATTCCAACTTTTGCTAAATAAATAAATAAATGGACGCTTCTTCATAAAATAAATATTGTTTTTTTACAGGATTATCATGTGAAAGTAAAAAGAAAAGCTTAAACATCTATTTTTTTCTTTTATGTTCATTTCTTTTATTTTTTTTTTAGATGGACTACACCATAAATAAGTTACTATATGCAAAAAAGAAAAAAAAAAAGAAAGAAAAAAAACTTAATGAAATACATTAAGCTATAAAACAATATAGGGTGCAGACCGAGCAATGGCTGTACCAGCCCCCCTTACACATTGGGCAAGACTAGCAAGATAATACCCAACCCGGGATCACTACAGTCTTCAGATCTTGAAATTGCATACTAAACACTACCAATATAAAAGGGATGCAAAATAAATAAATGAATGAATGAATGAATAAATAAATGGACGCTTCTTCATAAAATAAATATTGTTTTTTACAGGATTATCATGTGAAAATAAAAAGAAAAGCTTAAACATCTATTTTTTCTTTTATGAAGTTATTTTCAGTTATTCTTTTTTTTTTTTTTTTTTTTTAGAGGGGCTACGCCATAA